CGCTTCACTTTGTTTCGGGAGGGGCTGCTCACTGCTCATTGCTCATTGCTCATCGCACACTGCTCAACGCTCATTGCCCTATATCCCACCCAGCCGCAGGACTCCACTGCCGCCCGCGCCCCGCCCCATCTGGCCGCTTGCGCGCCCCATCCCCCCTCGATGGGGCCCGCCCACACCGGGGCCTCCCCCCTCCCGCCCACTGCTTTCTCAACGGCCCCGAGCCGGGGCTGCCCTCATTGCATACATAGTGCGCCTTTCCCTGCTTTTCTAGTGACCTAGCGTTCCGCACTGCCATTTGGCCAGCCCATGCTCCCGTACCGTTGCGTTTCTCCCCAATGCGCCATGCCACTTTGCCAGTCATACACACGTTTCGATGCGTGCCCTGTCAGCTGCTTGCGTTGCATGTCGCCTTGCTCCACCCTTGTTTTATTGCTTTCTCTGCTTTCGCCCGGTTCCCGTCCCGTTTCGGCGGGGAGTCTATGTTGCAAGTTAGTTCTTGCTTTACCAGACTTTAAGCCCACACAAGCACAAGCAAGCTGTGGTTCTCGCCAGGAGGATGGTGGCGTGCCATTTGCAAAGGCCAACCACCATCCGCCCCACGTCACCATCCGCCCTGCCCCGGATTGCTTGTGCAGCCTGTCCTGATGAGTTCTGTGCCCGCTGCACCGACGATGGGCAGTGCCTGGAGTGTGTGTCCAAGGCGGAGCCAATGTACCACAAGTGGGGGGCGGGTGGCTGGGGCTTCAACGCCAGCGGGGCCTGTGCCCCATGCGCCACGCCCGACTGCGTCAAGTGTCAGGCAGACTATCGGAAGTGCGAGTCGTGCAAACCCGGAATGGGCTTAGACTCCAATGGGCATTGCGTGCCGGTAAGGGGAAGGCACACAGCCAGCGGCGTGCTATCAAGACAGGTGGGGGATACATGGTAGATGCTCAGCCCCACATTCTGACCTTTCCTGTGCACACGTGGCGCCCGCCTCGCCGCAGTGTGCTGACCCTCGGTGCGATGACTGTTCCACAAACCACCAGCGGTGCTCCCGCTGCTGGTCAGTAGACGCCCCCACCCTCCCTCTCTACATTGACAGCCAAGGGCGTTGCAGAGATTGCATGCGCGCCAACTGCACGGCATGTGGCACGGGCGGCGGGTGTGCCGCTTGCACGGCGGGCTTCCGCCGGAAAGCAGGCAGCAAGGACTGCGCTCCCTGCCGGTGAGCTGTGCTGTCGACTCACGACCTCCATGCTGTTGAGAAGTAGCCTGTGGTCCCCTGATCCAGCTAGCGACTCCAACTCCTGCAGGGTGAAAGGCTGCTCCATCTGTAGCCGCAGCCCTACCAAGTGTGACAAGTGCCGTCCCTTCTTCTTCATGAAGGATACAACGACTTGCACAAAGGTACAGGAAGGGGTGCATGGAGCAGCACTGCGCTGGTGTTATCATCACCCCATCCGCTCCCAGCCATTCAATGCAAGTTTCCTGTGCTGTTGTGCAATGCAGTGCCAGCCTCACTGCGTGGCGTGTACATCTCCTGCCTCCTGCCTCCACTGCCAGGCAGGGTTTGGCCTGGTTTCTGGGAGGTGTGTAAAGTGCGCCAAGGCATTGGGGAAAGAGTGCAGGAACTGCGACGGCAACCGCAACAGGTGCCGCCGCTGCATGCCCGAGGATGAGCTGGCGCCCGACCCTGCCACCGGACGCTGCGTGGCGCTCTGGGCGTGATGTGCACATTGTGGCAGCGACACATTCAATGCAGAGGCAGTCACATGTTTGAACATGCTCCAAGGTGGAATGGAGCCTTCATCTATAAACACATTCCACACCCCCCCCACCCATTCCACCGCCGATTTTCTCCCTGATTGCTTTTTTACGTCAACGCCATCAATTGGTCATTTGTCTGATTCCAAAATTGCCCGATTCGTCCTTATTGCTCCATTTATACGGTTGCTCCCGCTTGAGGACAAGTGGCAGGCCGGCCAGCAGGGGCGCAGCGGCCAGGGCAAGCAGCGAGGCGGCGGCTTGGGCGGCTGCCAAGCGTTTCCCATGAGGATGCAGAAGATGAAATCTTCATGAAGTGATCACAGGGCCTGTGCTGTCACATGCTGCTGCGAAACCATTGCGCGATGCGATGGGCAACTCCACAGGAGGCGTGCCACGCCGCTGGGTGCGGCGGATGGGCGGCGGCGATGGAATCAGTTCTGGCTTAAGCTCCAGGAGCCGGCCACTTGCACGTATGGTTGAAAATGTTGCGGGCTGGCGCCCTGTGGGGGCCCAGGGGCCACGAAGAAGAAGAAGAGGCCTGAGGAGGGCGTTCACATCATGTACTGCGATTGTACATGCAGGTTCCCTCCCCCCTCTCATGACGCCCGATTGCATGTTTATTTTGTTGGCATCTTCAAGCGTGATCATGGCCACAGTGCGAGGCGGCTAGCCAAGCCAGACTTTTGCGCTCCATGCGCTTT